TCCCCTGCTCCAGCACCTTCCCACAGGAGACAGTCCTCCATAAACTTCTCCGATGTGAGTCCTTCCCACGGGCTGCAGTCCTTCAGGAACTGCTGCAGTGTGGGCCCCTGCACCGTGGGGTGCAGTCCTTCAGGGACAGACTGCTCCAGTGAGGGATTCCCATGGAGTCATGGCCTTCTTTGGGTGCAGCCACCTGCTCTGGCGTGGGGTCCTCCAAAAATGCGTATGATGAAGGGCATCTCGTATTAAAGTGTGTTTTCAGGCAACGCCAGATTATTTTGCTGTAGTGGAAACTGCCACCTGCAAGGGGAGGGCAGAAGTCTGTGCTTCCTCTGAGGCCAAGCAGGCTTTTGCACCAGATCCTCCATTCCACTGATGTCCAGAGAGCATGGACCTTCCCAAGGGAAGGCTTCACCAGTACTGCGGAATTCGTGAGCTTCTTGGAAATGAAAGAGGATGTGCTTGCGTGTGTGCCAGGGTAGGGCAGCTCCATCCTCCTGCCATGGAGGAGCCCAAAGGGAACAGCTTAGAGATGCTATTGGGGCTCTCACCTTTCTGCCCAGGCCTGCCCAGCCCCAGGAGTCATGCTTGCAGATGTTGGTGGTCACGGCTCAGCTTTGTTCCTCGCTGTGCACGAGCCCACATGTTGCGGCAGATGCCAAATCAGCTGTGAGGTCTGCAGTAGCTGAGGAGCTTGTGAAAGGACCTGGTGACAGTGTCACAGGTCTACAAGGACGGGCAGCATGAGGGTGGCCCCTGCTGCCAGGGCTCTGAAGGGTGCTTAGACATTCGTGTCCCTACAGAAGGCTGGAGAGAATGTGAAGATACGGACTCTGCTTTCTGCCCGTGCTCCTCAAGCCAGGGCCGATGCAATTGCATGTTTCTGTGCCCCTTGAGCACCATCATCTCATGGTCTCCTTCCTGTTTCCCAGTCACATACGGTGTTGGTGAGGTGCTCAAGGAAGTGGGAAACAGCCTGAATCACCTTGGTCCCTGCAGACACCCACTCAGAACAGTCTGTGGGTGAAATCAAGGTTGGGGCCATAACCTCAAGGGAGATCAACCCCCCAGGGTGTGGGAACAGGCTCTGGAGCAGGGCAGGAAGCTGATGAGCTGGACAAAAAGGAGAACCTGAAATGAAAGACTGGACTGCAAATACAGGGCAAAAGCAGGATGGCTGACGTAACCCTCCTCTCC